TTGACCCTGGACAATTATCACATTTGCCCATATAAACTGAATGGTTGAGGCGAATTACAAATTATTAAGTGTAAAATATGTTTGTATGTTTTAAAGGGCAACTTGGTTAAATTGGGTAAATTTGATCAGATGATCATTAATTTAAAATTTTGGTGGTAGCTGCAATCATATACATGTGTACCACTACGTCCAACGAGTATACAATTTTTGAGCGAATGCTTGCAAATTTCAAAAAACCAATTTTAACATCAGGCCTCTTCTTTAAAAAATATATGAATTTCTTTCAAATTATCTAAAATTAATCTCTTATGTATGGTATTCTTTTTTCCGTCTTTGGTCTAAATCGAAACGCAATCTTTCTTGCCTGGCATGATTCTGCTTATTTCGCCCATACAATAAAATTCTTGTACAATTTTAACTTTATATTCGTCTATAGTTTTTCCAGGCTTGGGGTTAGGTGTTGATAGAAATCAAAATACCAATAAATTAATTAAAAAATGAATTAATATAGTGAGCATGTATTATTGAATGATTAATCAATTTTAAAATTTTTATTTATTTTATTGATTGAAACACTTATTTATTGTTATTCTAATTTAGTAAGGCTATACTGATTTTAGAAAATCCGATCCAATATTTATATTGTTTTGGGTTATTTTATGATAATACTTTTATTTTGTATATAATTTCATAATAATAATAAAATAATAGGGGAGACCGGGGTAAAGCGATTGACGGGGTAACAATGTTAACGCGAATAACTTTTTAACCATTGAGTATAAAGACCTTAAATTTGGTGTGAAGATGTATTTTTATATCTAATTTCTTACCTATGTTCATCTTTTAAAAAACTTACCTGGTTTTATATATTTTGTCAAAAAACTGTTTTTTACCCAAAAAATATAAAAATCAATCTCTAGTATATTTTGCTTTTAGTAAAATTTACATATCCTCAGGATTCAAAATTTGGCACACATGTTCCTTAATGTATTAACTATAAAATAAAATTTATCTGACATCTTTAGCTATATTAGAAGTCACGCAATAACGATATATATAATATATGTCACCTAGGGGTAAAGCTGTTATGGGTAAAACGGTTAAAATATAAATTATTCACATTAAATTTTTCATTCATTCATTTATTATAATCAAATAAATATTGATATTTAATATTAAAGTTACCAATTGAGCATTATTAAAATTATGAAATTAATTCAATTTATTTAATTAATTATATATCATTTTAACTCTATGGAACTGGTATTGTTAATTATTAAAATGAAATAGTTTTATTTTATAAATAAACAAGATAAGAGGATTTGCATATCAGCTTGCTAAAGAATATGGCAAATCTTTCCCAGAAAGCTGGACAACTAATGGTATGGCTGGAGAGAACTGGTTTATGGGGTTTAGAAAACGACATTCCCAACTTTCGATTCGTACCCCTGAAGCTACTAGTCTAGCAAGAGCATATGGCTTCAATCCACAAATGTCAATAAATTTTTTGAAAATTTAATTAAGCTATATAATTCTTATAACTTTGAACCGCATAATATATGGAATGCAGATGAAAGTGGTTTCACCACCGTTCAAACTCCTGCAAAAATTATAGCACAGAAGGGTGCCAAACAAGTCGGCTCTATAACGTCAGGAGAAAGAGGAACGTTAGTTGTTTAGCCATCAATGCTATAGGCCATAGCATTCCACCATTTTTTATTTTTCCAAGAAAACGATACAAAGATCACTTTATTCGTGATGGGCCTATTGGATCTAAGGGTGTGGGAAACACATCGGGTTGCATGCAAGAGGAGGAATTTTTATCTTTTTTGGAACACTTTAAAAAATATTCTAGTGCATCCAATGAGAAAAATGTCTTATTAATCTTAGATAACCATAGCTCTCATTGTTCAATTTCCGTTATAAACTATTGTCGCTCCAATGTGATTGTTATTCTAACACTTCCACCACATTGCTCGCATAAACTCCAACCATTAGACAAAGCAGTTTATGGGCCATTGAAAAAGTTTTATAATGGAGCTATTGACACATGGATGAGAAATCATGTGGGGCAACAATTTCAGATTTATGATATTCCAGGAGTGTTAAAAAATGAAATACCAAGGGCAGTGACACCAAATAATATATTAAATGGGTTCTTAGCATGTGGCATATTTCCTTTAAACCCAAATATATTTACAGAACAAGATTATATCTGCTGTAATAATTCAAATGCTAGCTCAAATATTGAATTTGAAAATAATGATGAAAATATTACAGTGACTCAAAATCTTACAGTGACTCAAAATAATGATAGTGATTTATCTATATTATTGAACGAAAATGTTCCAGATGATATTGATGAACCCTATCATGATATGTTACCATCATGCTCAAAAAATTATAATAAAGTATTCAATCCTTCATCTATAATACCTATTCCAAAATTATTCAATATTTCATCGGATAAAATATCTAAAAAAAAGAATTCAGAAATATTAACATCTACACCTTATAAAAAAAAATTATTAATTCAGAGAAAAAAAAAGATATCAAAAAATAATTGTTTATGTGTTATTTGTAATAAAAACTATAAAAATAGTCGCGAGGGCGATGAATGGCTAAAATGTACAATGTGCCTTGAATTGGCACATTCTAAATGTGCTAATTATGATAATTATTTTACATGTCCTTATTGTATCGATTAGTTTTTAAATAAAAATCATAAATAAATCTTAAATTTGTAATATTTGTTAAATAAAACAATAAATATGTGTCAAATATTATTTTAACCACTTTACCCTAGTGCTTATCCAGAGTAGTTTTACATAACAAATCATAGCTCCTAAAATATTATAGATAGAGGGCTACACTTTTTTTTATCTTGTAGAAGAGGGATGGGGCTACACATTGATCTATAATTTGTTGTGTTTGACTATTGTTTAAAATTTTTATGGTAAATATGCAAAATGCCTATCGTTTTACCCCGGTCTCCCCTATTTGTAATAATTTAAAAATATCAAATTATTTTAAAAAATTGAGTAGAGAAAATTTTGATATTATTTTTTGGCGTCTATGAAATTCACAAGATTCTGATTCATATATTCAAGAATTATATACTTGGTTAAATATATTTTATTAATATTCATTAAATATATGCTATATGGGCAAAATTTTTATAATAAATTATAAATAAAGTAATAAATTGAATTTCTTTTACCGATATACAATTTCTATAATTGAACGAAAGCCCCTTTATTGTTATTTTCACTTCAAGATGAATAATCCTTTAAATTATATCAAACAGTCCAAGGAAAACCATTAAAAACTGATTAATATATAATTTTATACAAATATGCCCCCTTACGGGAAAATATTTATACACTTTTCTAAACATTTTAATCGATTTTGTTAATGAAAATGGCCGCGTCCCAAACCAATTTTTTTATATAAATATCAGAGACCTGCAGGCCCGGCCCTAAACCAGGGCCGGGCCGTATTTTAAATTTTTTAAATATACCCGGGTCGGGCAGGGCCTAAAAAAATTTTTTTACAACATATCCGGGCCGAGCCTAAAAAATTTTTTTTTAAATATATCCGGGCCGGGCTGGGCCTTAATATTTTTTATAAAAATTTTTACATTATGAGTTAATAGTTATAAGATTATATTATATTATAGTTATGATTAATATAATATTGGGTGATGGTTAACACTACCTAACAACCCACAGATCGATCTAATTATTAATTTCCTGCAAATTTATTCAAAGTATTAATATATTTTTTTATAATTCATATCTAAATTTTTACAACATATTTTACCAAAACAATCAAATAAAGGAATATCTTAAATAAGCCCCAATATTCAAGTATTATTAATATATTTTTTTATAATTCATATCTAAATTTTTAGAAGATATTTTACCAAAACAATCAAATAAAGGAATATCACTTCTTAAAGTTTGTAATACCTTTCAAAGCGAAAAGGAGAAATAAAATTGATTTTACTTAATATAAAGCATTTTTTAATTGAAAAATTTGTTTTACACAAGTATCATTTTATTTCTCTTTTTCTCTGTCCCAAATTCAAGCAATTACGTATGTAGTCAGGGACAGATCGCAAAATGACGGAAAACTATATAAAAGATTATATTAAATTACAAGAGGCTAAGGAAGTAAATGAAATACCATCGACCAGTCAAATTACGACTGTTGTTAAACAAACTGAATCGTTTTATGACAAATGGGGCGATGGTAATTCTGGTAATATGTCAATACCCGATGATGAATATTATAATTACATAAATAATAGATAAAACATTTAAGGTGGATAATTTGTTAGAGTGGTAGGCGGCTCATCAAAGCTAATTTCCAATTTTAGCAAAATTGGCAATTCCTGCTTCAAGTGCAAGCTGTGAGCGGAATTTTTCCACTACGAGAATTCTTGAAGAAAGAAGAAGTAATCTTCAACCTGAAAAGGTAGATATGCTTCTCTTTCTTCATAATAATTTGTGAATTTTTAATATCTTTCTTGAGTATAGGGTTTCGTCAATCATGCTGGTTTTTTACTTTGCAAACTGTCAAATATTTATTGCATTTATTATATTTACCTTGAGTCATGAAAGTTTTTAATCCAACATTTTTCATTATTTTTTTTTACAATATTACATAATACAATTATCTTCTTTTGTTAAAAATTTATATTATAAAATAAATTATATTAATATTGTGTAATTAGATTATATTTTCAAAATAGTATTTATTATACATGCATTTTTTTAAATAGCGATTTATTTTTATTTTATAAATTAAATAGTAAATTAAATAAAATAGGCCTTGACAGCTGTTTTTTTTAAAAATAAATTTGTTTTTCGATTCTTATTTGCCGGTCTGCACAACCCTGATTTTTTTATATGTGTTGAAAATAAAATGGTAATATTTTTATCGTTAAATAGTTTGTACGAAAAATTTGGTCTCAAGATCCTCTTGTCTTCTTCTAAATTATTTCATTTGATCATCCATTAATTAATAAAGTGTTCACGCCAATGAAGGCACTATAAACTTTTTGATAACGAAAATGTAGAATGCAAAACACTAAATCAAAATAACTATCGACATCTAACATAGATATTATTCTGACTTCATCATACTTCAATTCCTTCAAATTATCATTCATAATTAAATATATCATATGTGTAATTCACATTACACCCTATTTCATAAAAATGGTTAATTATTTCAAAATAACCACCTACGCCTGATTAATCTAACGATAAAACTACAACTACTGCCAACACTACAACCACTACCAACACTATAACCACTGCCAACACAACAACCACTGCCAACACTACAACCACTGCCAACACTACAATTACTGCCAACACTACAACCACTGCCAATACCACAACCTGACATAAAAATGATTTTATCATCCAAAATATTCAGTCCTCTTTCATAATTTTGCATCAATGAATTCTATACAATTCCAATATATCAAAATTTAATTGTAGATTAATGATACAAAAAATTTAATTCTTTTATATTATTCCCAACAAAACACTCTACATTATCAATTCTATCATTCTTACCAATCTTTACAATTTACCCTTATTTATACCAAAAACTGTTGACTAATATAAAATTGTCATCCAAACATTTTATTTAAATGTACAAAACACAATCAATATCCTTTGTATCATCATGTTGCCACCCAACCTTATAAAATTAAATCCAGCAATATGTTAACAATTTAATAAGTGGATCTCAGCAAGATATCCAATTTCAAAATAAACAAATTGCAAGCTTAGAAAAATCATAAAAGCTACGCCTGATTAATCTAACAATAAAACTACAACTACTGCCAACACTACAACCACTGCCAACACTACAATCACTGCCAACACTATAACCACTGCCAACACCACAACCACTGCCAACACTACAACCACTGCCAACACTACAACCACTGCCAACACTACAACCACTGCCAACACTACAACCACTGCCAACACTACAACCACTGCCAACACTACAACCACTGCCAATACCACAACCTGACATAAAAATGATTTTATCCAAAATATTCAGTCCTCTTTCATAATTTTGCATCAATGAATTCTATACAATTCCAATATATCAAAATTTAATTGTAGATTAATGATACAAAAAATTTAAGTAAATACTTTTTCCTTTAATATTTCCTTTACTTTTAGATTACCAATCATCCTCAATTATTATACATCAATTAATAACCAACAAGTTCTTTTATATTATTCCCAACAAAACACTCTACATTATCAATTCTATCATTCTTACCAATCTTTACAATTTACCCTTATTTATACCAAAAACTGTTGACTAATATAAAATTGTCATCCAAACATTTTATTTAAATGCACAAAACACAATCAATATTCACACTTGAAAAGGATAAGACATTTAATCTCTTATCTAATTATACTATTGATTCAAATCCTTTAAAGCAAGCTAATATTGCTATAAAAGCAGAAAGAGAAACTGAATATTTTACAAAAAATAAAATAATTGCCAACAGAAAATAATAACTCATTAAACTTCCTTAATATACCAACCCACAAGAAACCCATATTTGAAGATAAAAATAATATCCAACATTTTCACTCTTAAACTGATAAAAAAATTTTAATTCATGAGCTTACCAGACCTCAGCACAGCTTCTACCAAATCTAACTGCCCTTTATGTAATAAACTCGTTAAAGTAACCAAATTGGGGCTATTGCCATCTCATCGAAACCAGAAGATAAAATGTCCTCAATCTGGGTTTCCCATCTTATCACCAGCTATCCCTCGAACCCTAAATGCCTTTTCTGCCCTTGCCCTCGCACAACCTATAGTTACCATTCCCACGTTGACTGATGTGCCTACTAGCCCAATAGTCCCCACCTCAACCGCCGGAAATGCTCTCACTTTCAATCCAACCGACTCCACAGATGTAGAAATATTTCTAGTCATACCAAAACCATTTGTGATTTCACGTATACCTAAGGGAGCAAGACTTCAAGTTGCCAAACACCTCTCAAAGAACTTGACTTCCTTGATAAATAATTATTCTTCCATAAAACACTGGCTAGACACCCTGTCATTTGCCTTTACTACCTTGCAAGTTCCTGATCCTGCCAGTAAAAAATCTCTGACACAGCAAATCAAGGATGCTACTATCTACCCCTTACCCATCAATCACTTTTCCACATCTTTTAAAGGTGATGACACTGATAAAAATAAAAATCACAAAAATGACCTACTCATCAAGGCCAAGCTTATATCTAAAAAGCTGGATAACCTGAATGTTAAATCCGCCATACGACTGGCAACAGTGGGTAAAGACAAGTCCTTTGTCAAGTTCTTCGCCGACACTCTACTAGAGATATCCCTTATGCGCGGTACACTATCTCGCCTCCCAGCCCACCAAGCGTTCTTTCTATTAAAGAACTACCTCCTAATCCCAAAAATTCTATATACACTCCGATCGTCACGTATCTTCCAATACGACGTCAACCTCGCTGCACACGAGCTAGAGATTAAATACCTTACAGAGGATATACTCAATCTCAAATTCGGAGACCTATCTTGGCTACAAGCTACCTTGCCAACCAAATCCGGCGGCATTGGCATACGATCGCCTTCCCTACTCTCTGTTAGTGCGTTCATATCCTCTCGCCTGTCCTGCGAGCCCATCATACACGCACTTACAAAACATCCTGACCCTTTACTTCCCCAGGCAATTGATCTATGGAAATCTCTTTCATTAGTCGATCCTCCCTCATCGACACTGCAGAAGGACTGGGATAAGCCTCTAATTGGCAACTCCGTTGCATACCTTAAATCATGGAGCCAACCCGAGGACCATTCTCTACTCTTCTTTATTTCCGCAGACAGCGGGTATGAATTTCTCGAAGCTTTTCCATCGCGAAACCTTGACCAGCTCCTAAGCAATGATGAGCTACGTCACGCCATCGGTCTAAGACTTAATTGTAATATGGTAATACCCTATCACTGCATCCTTTGTCAAATGCCAGTCAACTCCAAAGGCCGTCACTCTTTACACTGCAAGCGCTGTAGAGGCAGATTCATTAGACATTCAAAATGCAATGATACTATTGCCAGGGCCCTAAAATATGCCGGTATCCCATCAACCCTAGAACCCACTGGACTCTACAATTCTGATGGTAAGCGTCCCGATGGCTCTACCATGATCCCTTGGAAGAGGGGGGAATTTCTAACCTGGGATTTCTCATGCATCGATCCCCTTGCCCCTTCCAATATAAATAGAGATGCTCTAGTAGACGCCGAGACGAATAAACTCGCTAAATATTCGCCATCGCTTCCGGCCAATTACACATTCCTACCACTAATCGCCACGACTCTAACATCGTTCGGCTCTCACGCCCTTGCCTTCTTTAAAGAGCTGGGGAAACGGATCTCTACTAGGACCGAAGATCCCAACGAGGGTTACTACCTACGCCAAAGATTAGCCCTCAATATAATAAAATCCAATTACCTCAGCTTCATATTCTCAATGACTGATACCTCCTAATTACTTACAATTTATATCTAAATTTTATTCATTAATTAATATTGAATTTATGATTTTATTTTTATATTTAGTATTACATAAATTACTAATATCTTAAATGTTCTATTATATAATATTCTAACTGATTAATATAATATATTGTATTTATATAATTAATTTTATATATTCATTAAAATATGAATTTTTAAATGTTTAATTATTTATATTATATCTTTTGGAAAAATGTTTATGTTTTAAAAAATTAATGAAGGTTTTATTTTGTTTTAAAAACGATTATAATTTACAATAAATATATATTATATTCTCAAAATATTTTCCATTTTTATAAATTAAATACTAGTTTTATTTTTTTTTAAATGTAAAATAAAATTTTATGAATATTAGTTTTATTTTTATAAATGCAATATAAAATATAGTATATGCTCAAAATATCCATTTTTATAAATAACAGTTTTATAATTTTTATAAATTCAATATAATATTCTCAAAATATTAGCTTTTTACATGTATTTTTTAAATAATAAGCGATAATACTCGCTGAAAAATATGGTAAAATACCTCATAGGTGAATTTTTGTATATACAGGGTCGAATATAATTTTTAAATCCGGGCCGGGCCGTAAAAATTTTTTTTTTAAAATATCCGGACCGGGCCTTAAATTTTTAAATCCGGGCCGAGCCGTAAAAAAATTTTTTTTTTAATATCCGGGCCGGGCTTAAAAAATTTAAAACCGGGCCGGGCCGTGCAAATGGTACCTCTGCAGGTCTCTGATAAATATAAAGGGAGTTTAATAATGTCTACTAAATTTTTAAAAAAATTGAAGGTCGTATTATTTCCAAAAATTTGTTTTTAGTCTTTATATATTAAATAAAATGGCCGGAAATTGGTAAAAAAATTTTAAAAAAATTTTATCTAAAAGTAGAATCTTTGTGCGTAATTTTGATATTAAATTCGTTATTTACAATTATGTAGTTTTTAAGATATGCTTAATTGAATGAAGGCAGATAATGGTAAAAATACGTCATTTTTGCCACTTTGAACCCTAATATCTTCAAAAATATAAATGTTAGGAGGCTAAAATTTTGGCTATTTCTTAGTTACATTGACCTTTCTTTGCATACCAAATTTTAAAAAAATCGAAAGGGGTCGGCCGAAAATCTCATTTTTTTGCTCATTTGATGTGGAATGACCCCAAGTCAGGTTTTTGCACTTGGTTTTCTGAAACCCGCAAAAGACCATAATAATTTTGATAGTTTAGGACTGAAATAAATTATATAAAAAGTCACAATTCATTTAAGAATACAATCAGAATATGAAAGTTGCATGGGCCTTGGTTTTTGATCAGGCCTTGTCATGTCTTCAAAAGAAATTTTCAGGCCAATTTCTAGCCTATATTTAAAATTAAAAAATTTACAGGAATCTTAGACTATAATAATTATGAAGAATGTTTCTCAAGCTATGTCCAAGTCCATATTAATGGTGAAAAATATTTCCCAAGCCCAGTAAAACCCAAATAATTTATTTTGATCCAGAAAAATAGGTCTGATGTAAGGGGTTTATAAGAATTAAATCTGTTTAATTTCAAAATTATCATCAAATGAAGGGTAAATATCTGATTTACCTATGATTCTACTGGTGGAAACATGATTTTTTGATCAGGCCAGGCTATGTCTGCAAAAAAAAATTCAGACCAATCTATAACCCATATTCAAAAATCTTAAAGCACCTCTATTTTAAATTTTATCCAATGTGATATATTTCTAATACATGCTCACAGTATACATTGCAACGATTTTACCTCTTTTACTCTTAAATTTTAATATTTATATAAAAATTATTAATAAAGTATAATTAATACCATACACACAAACCAAATAATTACCCTTCAACGTCTATATAATTTATATTTTAAATTTAATTATATTCAAGTTGGTGCATGCGTGAAACTTTAATATATATATAATTAATATTTTAAATTTATTTATATTCAAGTTGGTGCATGCGGTAAAGCATATGCTTTTGAAACGGGAGGCTCGAGTTCGATTCTCGTAGAGAGTAAAAAATTAACATTACACTATATAATCTCCTTAAATTTAAAATACATTAGGGAGATACGAAAACATTATATATATTAGATTTGTTGAGATTGAATTATATTAACTGTTTCTATTGAATGATATTAATTTTATAACCTTTTAGTATAAATTCAAAAATACCTTATTTTTTAGAGTTTGTTTGGATATTGTTGGAGTTTTTGTTAGATTTTATCCTTTTGAGATTATCCTTTTGAGATTGAATGTTTTGAAAGAAATTTAATAAATTCAAAGAGCTTTTGTATGGATATTTGTTGAGATTGGATGATATTAACTGTTTCTATTGAATGATATTAATTTTATAACCTTTAATATTATAAATTCAAAAATACCTTATTTTTTAGAGCTTTTGTTTGGATATTGTTGGAGTTTTTGTTAGATTTTATCCTTTTGAATTTAATTGTTGGTGCATGCGCAAAAATATATATATTTGAAATTTAATTATAAAGTTGGTGCATGCGTAAAGCATATGCCTTTGAAACTTTAATATATATATAATTAATATTTTAAATTTATTTATATTCAAGTTGGTGCATGAGATAAAGCATATACCTTAAAAAATTAACATTACACTATATAGTCTCCTTAAATTTAAAATTATTAGGGAGATACGAAAACGATCTTTTTATGATTATGGAGATTATATATATTAGATAAGAAAATATAAAGATAATTTAATTAATGTTAAAAATATATATCAACTTCCTAAACTAATGAAAAATATACACAACAAAAGAAGGAAAAAAGCAGAAATATTAACCTCTTCACCCTTTAAGATGGTATTATCAAAAATAAATTTTAAAAAAAAATAGACAAAATATCAAAAAAAGTTATATTATCTCTGAGTAATAGAAATGGAAGCAGTCCAGATCCACAAATATTAAAACAATAAATGGAAATATTTGTATTATATGTCACAAAAAATATTTAAAAAATTATGAAAAGAAGATTGGTACCATTTATCGATTTGAGCAAATGGAAATTTTCCAAATTTGATAATTTTTTCTATGTGCAATTAAATGAAATACTTATTTTTCAATATGTATATGTTTAAAATTTTTTATTTTTTTTAGGATGTGCAATTAAATGAAATACTAATTTTTCAATATGTATATGTTTAAATTTTTTATTTATTTTAGGGATGTACCGATATTTTATATCGGATCACACCGATATTTCACCTATTTTAAAATATCGGTTATCGGCCATTATTATAAAATTTTCCGATCCGATATAAAATGGCGTCTTTAACAAAAATAAATTATAAAATTTTTAAAAAAAGTTATATTTAATCAGAGACCTGCAAGCCCGAGGGCCGGGCCGTATTTTAAATTTTTAAAATATACCCTGGCAAAAAAATTTTTTTTAAAAAACCCGGACGAGCTGGGCCTGAAAATTTTTTAACCCATTAATGGTCAAGATTTTTCTAGTGGATAAAAATGCTCAATTTTTTCAAATTATATTGATTAATGCTCAAATATGATATTCTAAAAAAATCAGCCAAAAAAAATAATCCTAAATAGAAAATCTAGCCTGGTGCATATATGCACCGTTAACCATTAAGAGGTTAAAAAAGATAAAAATTATATAAAATACTATAAGATCAAAAAAACAACAAATATCTTTATTCTTTTTTTGTAATTTATAATAAAAACGAGAAAATGTTTATATATTATGAAAATCCTTGAAACATTTAATATGGAGTGCGATTTGACATGTTTGACACATATATCTTGAGTGCGTATGGCAATATCTGCATCTTCGTCTTTTTCCATCTATAATTTTGGATAAATAATGTCCAGATGAATCAATAGGGTTTTCACACTGTAATGCAAACTGGCTGGCGTGACCTGTACTTGAATTTTTTTCAATTTTTACTGGCGTTCGAAGGAGGTAGTTAGTAACTTCTCGTCTAAATGCAAGCAAACTCTTCTTGTCATCTCGATTCACGAATTTCCAGATTTTCCATGAATTTACCAAAGCTACATCAATAAAATTGGTGAATATTGGCCACCACCATTTTTTTCCTCTTATTTTTATTCTATATGTAGATATTAGATTATCACATAGATCAACTCCACCCATGTGTTTGTTATAAGCAGTTACCATATTTGGCTGAGGAATTTTTATTTTAGAAGATATTTTCTTAGAATACCTTGAAACATTAGAAAGCAAAGAGATAGTGTGGCATGTCGATGCAACGGTCACCATATCATTCCAACGAACTACAAATATTTCGTTTAATTTTTCAAACCTATAATCATAATATCCTCTTTCTTTTTTTGCTACAACCTTTATAGATTCAACTGGGCAATGCTCTATTCTATTGTCCCTCACAGTTCCAGTTGCAAAATATCCCATTTGTTTTAAGTATGACAAGAGTTTAAATGATGTAAAGAAATTATCAAAATATATTTTATGATAATTTGGTTTTTGCAATGCCTTTAATAATTTTATGATTTTCCACCTAATCCATATTCATATTTATTTTCGCTTTTTCCTTGATATATATCAAATGAGAATACGTAACCGTCGGAAGAGGCCAATATCCAAGACTTGTATCCGAATCTAATTGGTTTTCCTTTTATGAACATTTTGCAAGAATGTCTTCCTCGATATGGTATCATCTGTTCATCTATTGATAAATGATGTTTAAAAATTCCGAATTGCTGAAATTTATTATTCAATATATTAATGTAAGGCCTAACTTTATAAAATCTATCATGTATATCTATTTTAGTATTGTCTGCCAAATGGATATTATATTTCAAATTTCGAAATTGTAATTGGGTCATTGTATCCCGGATTATTGGAATAGAAATATCGCTGTCATTAGACCAGTACATTCTTTCTTGTGGGAGAGAATGATATCCAGTAAATAATAGAATTCCAATAAATCTCTGAATA